GATACTCCATAACTGGCCTGTATCCTTCAAAAATGCTGGTGTCTTGAAACACAAAGAGAGGCTTAGGAATTCTTCCAGATTTAAGTAGACTAAACTTGACAAGTGAATGCAGTGCATGATCCAGAATGTTATTTTGCCATTAGGGTTTTATTGGGGGAATTGGTCAGATCTGAATGAAGTCTGCAGGTAATAGTGTTAGATCAATGATAATTTCCTGGTGGTGTTAATTGTACTGTGGCTAAGTGAGAGAATGTCCTTGTTTTTAGGAAATACACATCAAAGTACTTAGGAATGTAAGCCTTCCTGTCTGAACCCAACTCGCAAATGACTCAGGAACAAAATTATAGGTAGATGTATAGAGAAGGATAAAGCAAATATGGTAAAGTGTTCCTATTTAGGGAATCTAGGCAAAAGGTGTACAGGAATTCTTTCTATTTTGCAACTTCTCTGAAGGTTTGAAATTGTGTCAAGATAAAAAGTTACAGGAAAAAGGAAACAAGGGTCAGAACAGGGGGAGGGCATCCTGGGATGCATATTAATAATAGTCCCCAGTCCCCGTGTCAGTCCCCCCTGGAAGCCAGACTCGGCTGTGGCTTCATAAGCATGACCTTGTTCTGTCCTCACCATCATCGGTGTGAAAAGAGACCTTTTTGGCTCCCATTTCACAGAAGCAAGTCAGAAAGATGAGGGATTTGCGCCAGGCCCTCCAGCTCCTTGGGACAGCGCTCAGGCTGGAAAGCAGGCTCTGGGAGTTCAAGCTCCGGGCCCTGCGCCTCACCCCCACTGCTGACTCTGAGTTTGGGTGGAGAGTGGGATGGGTAGGACAAGGGATCTCTTCCTGGGGCCGTGGTGGAGGTCAGGTGCCGGGACAGAAGCAGACCAGGTCCATTTGCAGGATGGAGAGGGATATTATTCCAGGATTCTGCAGGGACCAGATCCCGAGGTGCCAAGCAGGACAAAATGGCATGTGGGAGGGGGCCCCAGACCTCGGGATGCCAGCTGGAGCAGCCAGTGGGGGCCGCAGTGGCACAGGGCATAGCTGGGAGTGACCGGGGGTGGGTGGGGTGGGCATTCTCGGGTGGAGGACTGGCTTTGGAGAGCTTGTTCGAGGCAGGAGTGCTCCCCAGCCGGGCTCAGCCTGCTGTCCACGCTGGAGGGAGGCATCAGGGGAAGTGGGAGCCAGGGGGGCTTGACATGCCCGATATGGGGGGCAGCGTGGCCTGGGGTAGCTGGGCAGAGATTGCTGAGGACGTGAGTCTGGCTGGGCAGACCCCTTGGGGGGGTCCAAGTGAAGAGGAGGGCTTCTCTCCTGGCTGGAGGGTGGGTGCAGGAAGAGCCAAATGACCTCTGGCAGTCCCTCCTGGTCGCTGGGACTGTCTGGCTCTTCCCCAGATTAAAGAGCTGAGGGTTTGAGTGTCTGGCAGCCAGATGAGTCAGACTGGGAGGCTGCTTCCTGCTCCTATCAGCCTGCCTGGCATAGGGGCGGGCTAGGGGTTTGGCCTATCTCCCTCAAATGGCATCCCCCCTCCCCACACCCTGAGATGGAGGGCGAACACACGGGCTATGTGAACCGGTTATTTTGCAGGGTCCTGTGTGTCCCTGAGCGTGTGCTTGCGCGTGCGGGCAGGCTCAAACATCATCCATTGTAAAATATCAGTGTTTTCATGGGTGAGTAGTAATTACTGGGTAATGCTTTAAAACCTTTCCTGAAGGAGCGCAAAGCTGTTTTTTTCCTAAAGTCAGGAGTACATTAAAAGGATTACCATGTAGATTTGATTTTTAGATAACACTAAAATGGATCCCAAATGGACTTCAGCAAAGGGATGCTATCTCCTTAATGGAAAGTGCATGGCCCAAGGCTCAGCTCCCAGAGCCAGGCAGGGGAGGGAGGGAGGGAAGAGGTGTCTGCAGGGCTGACTGGCGGGCTGGGTGGGGGCTGGGGAGGCAGGGCGGGGAGGGCGAGCCCTGACCCTCTGGGGAACATCTCACTCCCATTTGGGGAACAGGAGACCAGAGATGTCCCCTTTAAACCTCCTTGCCTTTCCAGGAGTGTTTTCAGGTCTCCTGAACCAGCCCAGTGAGAGAGCAAACACAGTGTGGGTGCCCAGTAAAGAGGAAGGGGTGAGTCAGACATCTCCCAGGACCTCAGCCTTTCTAGGCAGAGAGAGCCCAAGGTCCCCGTATGCTCCGGGAGCTCCTTAGCCAGGCTAGCGCTGGAGGTCTGTGCCTCGGTGGACATCAGACACTGTTTGGCAGGAAGCCTTGTGGCTTCTTAAGAGTTCTCCAGGGCCCAGGAAGCAGAGTTCCCAGGCCTTCCGGAGCCCGGCGGTGTGCCAGAGCCAGCCCAGGCACAGGCAGGGCGCAGGGGACCTGGGCTAGCTTGTGGCTTCGCTCCTCATGGCCTCCCTGGGTCCTGTAGGTTCCAGGCCGGGCCAGCTAGGGCTACAGACCACAACTCTGTGGGCTCTGCGGCCGGGCGTGCTGGGGCCTGAGCTCAGAAGGCCAGCCTGGCCAGGAGCCATGCCAGACGGAAGACGGAGCAGGACAGACACTTCTGGTGCTGGGGTCCCTCCTCGTTTCGGTGTATAACTTAGTGGATCCAGTGTATCCCCTGCTTGTGGACATTCTAGTTACTCACACACCTCCTGCTAGTGATAACACAAGGGTAGAGCCCTGGGCAGGCGAGGGGGGCCGGGCCTGCTGCCCGTCCAGGTACCAAGGGGAGAACCAGCCTTGGCAGGGCTCTCGTAGAGGCCAGGCCTGAGGTTTTCCAAGTTGGTGCGTGTGTACTTCTAGCTGTGCGGGCTGGGTGCTCCCTTCACGGGACCCAGGGACAGTGGTCCCCCCCGGGACCCACAGACCTCCTCACATCCAGCTCTCCCGACCCCTCCCCTGTTTGCTCACAGCCGGTTCCTCCCCGTAGGCCTGGCCTCGGAAGGAGCCCTTCAGAGCCCCCTTAGCTCTCAGGGATGCCCGCTCCCCAGCTGGCATCCACGGCCGCCTCAGCTCTGTGACCAGACTGCGCCCTGCCGGAGGGGACACAGGCAGGCCTGAGGACATAGTCATCCTCAGCCCCCTCACTCTCTCAAACCAATTAACTTTTAGGGCTGCATTAAGGAAATTAGGCAGCAAGTGTCCCCGCTAACAGGCCCTGCGGGGTCTGGAGCAAGGAGGCAGGAGAGAGTCCGCTGCTGGCCAGTGCTCCCTCCCCTCGGCCGTCACCTGTCCTGCTCCTGGGCCCTAGAGGGCCCCCTCCCCAAGAGAGGTCTGAAGAGGCCCCAAGGCACAGCAGCGGGGAGGGCCCCCCGAACCAGCTGGATAATGAGTGGCTTGCACTAGACCTGGCCTTCAGACCTTCTGTGCCTCAGTTTCCCCATCATTCCTTGGAGCATTTGCCCGGAAGAGCTCTCAGGGCCCTTCTGACCTGACATCTGTGGATTCTAAGACAGGCCCCTTGGAGGCTGACTGTCTTCGGACGTCTGAGGAAGGGTCAGACACCAGCAAGAGGGAAGGGGAAGGAAGCAGCTCAAACTCTGGGCGGAGGGCAGTGAGCAGAGGCAGGGATAGGAGGGATACCAGGGAGTGGGAGCTGAACCCAGAGCCCTCGAGAGTGCTGGGGTCCCTTGGAGAGGAGGGGGCCAGGAGGAGGGCAGACTTCATGGGCTTGGTGGAGAGCCAGAGAGGCAGGAAGGGGTGGGCTGTTCCCTCCAGAGAGGACTCCTCCGTGCTCCCGAGCCTTGGTCAGGGAAGGCGCACACCCCCACCCCCATTGTCTTCACGAGGGGTTCTCAGGCAACTCCTACAGGTACCCCCACCTGCCCTCATCCTGGGTCTGGACTCCGAGACTCCCTGCATTTCCCTCCAAGCAGTCTTTACCACATCCAAGCCTCAGGGCTCCACATTCGATGTCCAGACTCAGGATGACCACTGTCCCCACCTCCTCCTCAACTGTTGCTCCCTGAGATTACTCCTTGTGGCCCCAAGGCCAGGGACTAGGAGCCTGAGCCTCTGTGCACATGCCTGCACGTGACTGCGCGCTATGCCTGTGTGCGTGGGGTGGGGTGTGCATGAGTGCACACGCTTGCCTACTGGGAGGTCAGCTTCTCCTTCCAATAAACTCCATGCTGAAATTCTTACCCTTTGTATTTTTTCTTATACGTTGAGAAGCATGCATGGGCCCTGGGAGGGGGCCCATGGCTCAGAGACCCGTGTCCTGGTGGGAGGAGCAAGGATTCAGAGACTCAGAACCTCCCCATCCTCAGGCCAGGGCAGGTAGGAAGTTTGAATCTAGCTAGAAGCATTCCTGGGGGAGAGTCCCGAGGAGGCCAGGCCCAGCTGCCTCCCTGCACACTCCCTCCAGGAGACCCAGAGCTCCCGCTCCCCACTGGGAGTGTCAGGGGGCGCCCCACTTGCTTTCTGATCCCGCCACAGTTTTACATGAGTAAACCAAGAGGCTGTAGCCTGACTTTTGAGGGTAAAATGGCCCAAGGCACAAACTATGTCAGGAAGGCTTGAGGTAGCAAAAAGATCTGGGAGTTCTAGTGGACCCCAGCCCGTTGTGAGATTCAGTTCTTGGGGCCACTGGGAGAGCCAGTCAGATGGCGGCTGCCTGTGGAGAGTTTCAGGCCTCCTGTCGAGCAGGCCCCACAGAAGGCAGTGGCCGGGTGGGGAGAAACAGCTCGGGGGGACTATGGGCCTTGGGGCTACATGGGTGCTGTGCAGCCAAGCAGATGCGAGACGCGGGGCTCTGCAGTCTGCCTACAGCTTCTGGAAGGACCTTCGCAGGCCAGGGGAACAGCCTGTGCCATGCAGCTCAAAGGACAGGACCTGGGGCCAGGCAGGGAGCTTGCTGGGGAGCAAGTGAGCACTCTGGGAACCCCCGCCCTGGAGGGGGCAACAGGGAGAAGCAGGGGGCTCCCATTCCTCTAGGGATGGGCCCTGAGGCCCGGGGCCACAGAGTCCATCCCGTGTCCATCTGTCTGTCGTCCGTCCATCCACAGGCGTTCCGATGCTCTCCGTCCAGCCCAAAGGCAAGCAGAAGGGCTGTGCGGGCTGCAACCGCAAGATCAAGGACCGCTACCTGCTGAAGGCGCTGGACAAATACTGGCATGAGGACTGCCTCAAGTGTGCCTGCTGTGACTGCCGCCTGGGGGAGGTGGGCTCCACCCTCTACACCAAGGCCAACCTCATCCTGTGCCGACGCGACTACCTGAGGTGAGCCTCCCGCTGGCCCCCGCCCCCCCCTCCCCTGGCCTGGCATGGCTCCGCCCCTGCTTCTAGACCCAGGCCCTGAGGGCTCATCTCCGACCATCCTGGCCCGGCTCTGCTTCCCCAGACGTCCACAGAGCCCCGAAGACAGAGCCACACCATCAGCTGCTTGGCTCAGCGCCCAGCACAGGGCCTGAGCCAGCCTTTGCGACCGTGGGGCACCTGAGATAAGTTTCCCAAGGGCACCAGACTGGCTCTGCCCGTCTTTGCCAGGTGCTTCTGACCCACCCTGTCCCTGGAATCTGGGAGGGGACACCTCAGAGGCCTTCCAGGAGCAGGTGGGGAAGCCCTGACTTCCCCGGGCCCCTCCTGCCTGGTGAAGTCTCCTTGCCTCCTCTTCCCCATGCCCAGCGGGCCCTGGCATTAGACATCTGGGTGCCTGGGCATCTGGCAGGTAGCCAGACCCTGGGAGAAGGACCACTGATGTCGGAGCTTAAAGACCTGGGTTTGAACTAGCTCCGGACCCTCTGGCTTCTGACCTTCTCCAAGCCCCAGTTTGTCCCTCTGTGAATAGTGTGAAGACTAAAGCTTCCCCAGCTCACATTCCTTGGAGCTCTAACCCACCCACCCCACAACCTGGATCCTATTCCCTGGGGCTGTCTCCCCCAGTTAGCCTTCCCTTAGGCCATTTGTGACATCAGCAAGGCTGGGAGGAGGCCACAGAGTGGGGGCCTTGGCTGAGACCCAGCATCTACATTTGGCGGGGTGGTGGTGGCCACATCTTGCGAGGAAGGAAGGCCCGTCGTACTAATTAATAGGTCAGGCAAGGGCTTTGTGGGGCCCTCCCTCTGTCCAGGTCTGGGCTGTGGTAGGGGGCAGGGTTATCAGCAGAGGCTCCCCTACTTTCGGGAAGAGCCTAAGGCTTACCAGCCTGCACCTTCTCTTTCAACTTCTGCCTTCAGCCGGAAGCTTTTATTTTTTATTTATTTATTTTTAAAGATTTTATTTATTTATTTGAGACAGAGAGCATGAGAGGGAGGAGGGTCAGAGGGAGAAGCAGACTCCCTGCCGAGCAGGGAGCCCGATGTGGGACTCGATCCCAGGACTCCAGGATCATGACCTGAGCCGAAGGCAGTCGCTTAACCAACTGAGCCACCCAGGCGCCCCAGCCGGAAGCTTTTAAAGTGTCGCAGTAATCCAGGATCTGTGACTCAGTGCTCCTCGCTGGGCTGGAGGAAAGGGCTGAGGCCAGGAGGAGGGGCTAAGGAAGAATATTTCTGGGGACTCGCCCCTCGATGACCTGGAAGGGGCCTCCAAGTGGGAAGGTCTCAGACACCCCCTGGGGGCTGAACCTCCTGGGTTGAGGAGAATTGGCACACTGACCAGTGAGTCCCCAGGACCTGGACTGGGGCGGGCAGCGCAGGATGGGCTCGTCAGTAGAGTCAAAGCACCTGCAAGCATTCTGAGCCCTGCCAGCTACTGAAGCTTGAAGGTATTTTTTCTGGGCTCTGGCAGAGGCCAAGGAATGACTTTGGGCCAGGTAGGTCAGTGGGCTGGGCTGGGGGTGGGGCTTCCTTGGGCTGCTCCGTCTCAGAGGGGGCTGTCCGAAGCCTGCCCCGTCTACAGCCATGGGGGCGTTGGGCTGGGGGCAGTGAGGCCCCCCTTGGCAGGCAGATGTTGTGGCCCAGTCTTTGTCTGCCTTAATCTGAGCCACCAGGCAGCTCAGGCTGATGAATAATGGAGCCAAGCTCATCTGCAGATGCCTGAATTTGAGCTGGACAAATCAGGGATTAGAGGGTCTCTCGCCCGCCTCTCAGCCCCCCTTGTCTCACTTGGGGCTTGCTCAGCCGGTGTGCAGAAAAGAGGCAAGGAGGAGCCTGGCCGGCTCTGACCATTGGAACCCCGGCCCGAGACTGGCCTGCTTGGGGAGAAAGTGAATGCCCCATCCCTGGAGCTCGGCAACCAGCAGCTAGGAGGGAATGGCTGCATGAAAGAGGCCTTGTGCCAGATGGCCTTGGAACTTTCTTTCGGCATCAGTCCTATTTTAGAAGCATTTGAACAGGATCACCTAGTCCAGCACCCCCTTTTGAAAAAGGATACACTGAGATCCAAGAAAAGGAAAAAGGAATCCAGGCAAGTCAACCATGAGTTGGTTGCAGAAAAAAGACCACCCCATAGGGTTGTTGTCAGGATTAAATGAGTTGATCTTAGTACAGCCCTCAGAACAATGCCTGGCATGAGGCAAACCCACTCGGTCGAGGCGTTCACTAAGTGGTCCGTGACTGCGCATTAACTGAGGTTTCCACAACAAGCCTGCAAAGGATGCGCTTCAGTCTCCGTTTTAAAAAATAAATGAGGCTCAGAGAGACCTATGAGCGGCCTGAGGGCAGGCGGACTGCCCCCGAGTTCATGCCTGTGTGACTCTGGAGTCCTCGCTCATGGCCAGCCCCGTGTTCTTCCAGTGGCCCTGGGTCCCAGTAGCCTGACCCCAGTGGGAGCCTGTGAGGGGGGCCTTGACAGCCCAGGCCAGGGATGGGCAGTGTCATCCAGCCCCCGAGCGCCTATGCTCCCCTCCCTGGGTGGCTGGGCCGATTTCTCTGAAGCCCAATCTCTTCGCGGAATCTAGAAGCTGCCCTCTGCGCTCCTTCTCCCTTGCCTAGGCCCACCTGCTAAGCCCACAGGAGTAGGGACCCGCGGGGCCCTGGGTAGAGGCAGCTGCTCCGCCCCCCAGACGCTGGCAGGCCCCTGAGCCCCCTGCGCCCTTCCCTTGGCAGGCTTTTTGGCACCACAGGGAACTGCGCTGCCTGCAGCAAGCTGATCCCAGCCTTCGAGATGGTGATGCGAGCCCGGGACAACGTCTATCATCTCGATTGCTTCGCTTGCCAGCTCTGCAACCAGAGGTGAGTGCTGCGCCTGTAGCAGACCCCAGCGGACACGTGCTGGGGCAGCGCGCTGTGGGGGTGTCCGTGCAAATGTCCACGGGCTCGTAGGGCACGTTGTCTTGAGCATGCATGTGCGTGTGCGTGTTCCGTGTGGCCGGATGTGTGCCCTCCAGCACTGTTATGTGCGTGTCTGTAGGGCCCAGGTCTGAGCGGTGTGATGGCTCACGCGCACATGAGCTTGCTGTGTACGTACATTGTGTCGTGCACGTGTGTGGATTTTTAAACGTGCACGGACAAGGCAGGTATGGGTGCGCTGTGTGCATGTGTGTGCATGACGGATGAGTGTGAATGCGAACACGCTTAAATGCGCATGTACAAGGGGTCTGTGTGCACGCCCTGTGTCCTTGGGTGTCTGCCATTTGTGTGTGCATGCGTGTACATTTTAGTGAGAAGGTGTTCGTGTGCCTGATGGTAGCAGCTACCCACCCCTGTGATTCTGGTTCCAGCCCAGCCACTTTCTGATCCCTACACAGTGTCCCAGCCCCGTGGGAAGCCCCAGGGACTGAAGGAGCCAGAACCCCTCAGCCCTGTCTGGGGACCTAGCACTGGAAGACAAGCCCTTTTCTCAGGACCCCCCATGTCAGGAAGGAGCTCATGCAAGTGTTCCCAGAGGATGAGGTCCCGAGGGACCTGTAGGGAACACGGAGGGGGATCGCTGGGGGCTTGGACAGACCCGCCACTAAGAGGGCTCGGTGAAGTTGCAGTGCCACCTGGTGGTTGGATTGGGATCTGCTGGGACTGGGCCCATGACCCTGGGGTCTGGTTGAAGCCCTAGCCACCCTGGGGACATCTTTGGGGAAAGGGCTGAATCCTCCAATACTTTAGAAGGACTGGGGGTGGGGGGTGAGGGTAGCAAAGCAAGGCCTTTTCTGGGTGGGAGGGAAGATGGTGGGACAGGGTCACCTCCTCCTGGAAGGATGCTTCAGGAAACCTAGATTCTGTTCAAAGGAAGAGTTTCATGGAGTCATCCCCTTAAGTTGGGGAAAGGAACAGGATAGAAAAATCAACCATTTTACCACTTCCTCCTTCCCCATTTCTACCTCTCTCGGTCTTTTTCTCTTTCTTTGTCCTTCTCTCTCTTTCTCCCTCTCTGGGACTGGGGTAGGTTATTCCTACACCTTCCTACCAACCCCACCCCTCCAGGGAAGACCCGACTGTGGGCCAGACTTGTCTGTCTGTCTGCCCTACACCCCAGACTACAGGGCCTGGCTGAGGACTGGGCTGACCCAGGGTGATTGACCAGGTTTGCTATGAGACCTTTGGGGATCCCTTCTGGAAAGTTGAAGGAACAAACTCTCCAGGACCTCAGTTCTCAGATGTCCACCTCCTGGGCTGGGCTGGGGCCTATCTGCAGCCCCCACCATCCACTGGGACCCCTCCATGGCCTCTCTCTCCTGCTTGGATTTTCCAGATTTTGTGTGGGAGACAAATTCTTCCTGAAGAACAACATGATCTTGTGTCAGATGGACTATGAGGAGGGACAGCTCAATGGCACCTTTGAATCCCAGGTTCAGTAATGCCCGGCGCCTGGCCTCCAGGCCCATCTGTCCGTCTGCCTGTCTGCCCGTCTGCCCACCTGCCTGGCCGGCCAGCCACTCTCCTGCCGATTAGAACTCCTCCGTCCTCGATGGGAGGGACGGCCCTTCCTCTGCCGCCCGTCTGTGTGTGACCCCTCCTGGGGCCAGGCTGGGCCTGTACAGTCTGTCTTCTGTATATAAATGGGAACATTTATTTTATGAGAAATGTAATGCGATTTTATTACTGGCGTGGATTAAACTTATGAATGTTTCCGGGGAGGTTACTGTGCGTTGATCACCTGACTGACACAGACCTGGGGTCCCTCCCCTCTGCTTGGGAGTGAAGCAGCGCCCTCCCTTGGGCCCCTCCAAAGCTGGACATGGAGCAGGGCAGGGGAGCTCCAGGTGGGCTTTAGGGGGTAGAAGCTGGAGGGAAGAGGACAAGCCCACGCATCCCATAGCCAGAGGTGGGACTGGGGGTGTCCTCCCCTCCCCTGGCCCCCAAGATAAAGAGAGGCAAGATGAAACCCTCCCTTCCCTGGGTTCCTATTTGACCGCCCTCCACTGAGGCCACCAGCCAGGAACTCAGCCTTGATCTCCCCCCACAGTAAGACCCCGAATCCTGAGCCTTCTACCATGGGAATACCATTCTCAAAACCCTCTTCCCTTTCAGGGTGATGGACAGCTTTTGCTGTCTCCTCCCTGCAGCTTGGGCCTGCTCTGGGGCCCACCCTTCTGCTCTTCTGGGTGAGCGAGAACAATCCCGTTGGCCTGTATTCAGCCCACGCAGGCTAGAGGCTTTCATTCATTCGTTCAGCAAACCTTAATCCACTCTGTCTCAGCCCCACGCTGCAAGCACCAGACGTGCGGATGAATCATGGATCGGACACAGTCCTTGCCCTTGAGGAGGGAGAAAGCCAGGAAAACGAGTGGAGCCCAGCACAGTGAGGACGAAGCCCGCAGGGAGACCTGGGACGGGCCGGTCGCCTTCCGCGGAGCGGCAGGACTTGGACAACTGCGGAGAGTCAGACAGCCCGTCCAGTGCACACACGCAGGCGGACAGATCTGCGCGCGCCGTGCAGGCGACCCGGACACGCGAGCAGACGGGCGGGTGGGCAGAAGTAGGCGGGGCCAGCAGCCCGCTGCCGCCCTGGGCGTGGTCCGGGCACCGGGCTCCCCCGGGCCGCAGGACGGCTGTCTTGCTCTCCGCGGCAGCCGCGGCACCAAGCATAGAGCCTGCACCCGCGAGGGCAACACTGGGTGGTATGAAAATAGGGGCTCGTTGGATCCAAAGGCCGGACGGGGAAGGCTGTATGGACAGGCTCCCCCCACTGTCAGGCCACTTGCTTCTCCTCCTCCGGGGACTGTTCTCAGCCTGGCCTCGGCCCCAGAGCCCAGGGCGGATGGAGCCCGCCCACTGCTTCTAGCTCTGCCTGCTCCTGGATGGGGAACCGCAGGTCACCCTGCCCCAGGCCTGCTCCTCCACTGGGAGTGATGTGGGAGCATGGCTACCTCCCCACATTGTGGTTTTGTGCCCAGTGGTCCAATCCGTGGGCAGGGATCGCTAGGGTCAAGGATCTTGGGGTAAGGGTTCTCATCCGCGGGGCATCCCCCTTCTGTGACAGAGCCACGCCCACCTGTGTGACAGAGAAGAGGGGCAAAGAGCCAGGCGGCCTGGCCGCAGTGGGGGTTTTGTGTGATGTGTCTGATGTGACTGTGGAACTGGGGAGCTGTGTGTGGCCGTGTGAGATGGGGACTGAGTCGGAGTGCATGAATTTGCAGGCTGGAGTCTATCGTGAGGAATTTTCTCGCTCAGCTTGGAAAAGTGAATCATTTCCCTGAATGGTAGCAGGACACTCCCCGCCCCCCCCCCACACACCGTGCCAGACCCTCCCTGGGCCCTCAGGCCAAGGAGGGCTCTGCCCACCCCTAGGCCCCCAACTCCTAACTTCAGAGTTCACTGCAGATGAAGTTGTAACACAAGTTAATTACATGGTTATCGAGAGATAACGGAGACACTCGAATGCAGTTTCTGGGCAATTACAATTGTTTCCAACAGAGTTCCCATATTGCAGCCATGAAATAACATGTCGTTTTGCAGTAATTATGTAATTAACTTGTCTCACCGCTCTAGGTTGCACAACAATTAATTCACTCACAATGAGATAGACTCAACATCAGGCAGCCGGCCTCTGAAAGCCCCCGAGAGCAGAGCCGGCCTTCTAGGAGGACCCCAGCCCCATTCTGCCCACCGTAGACCCTGCCAGGGGGCTTCCTCAGTTCAACATGCGGTGGAATATGCCAGATCCAGAACCATGGCTCCACTTACGGCTGTGTCATGGTCCCCATCCAGGACGTGGGGCTCATCTGTTTCTCAGGGCAGCCATGAGGCAGAGATCTAAACTGTGAAGTGCTGTTTTTACGAGAGCTGGAGTTACCATCCTGGACATCATGACGTGCTGAGTGGGAGACCCTTCGCCTGGGAAGTCCCGCAGCAGTCCACAGCTGCTCCCAAGAAGAGGCCACACAGGCCTTGCGGACATGCGACTGGTGTGGAACCAAAGGGAAGGCAGGGGGTGGGCAGAGAGGAGGCTGGGCTCTTCCTGTAGCAGGCAGCAGGGCAGGGCTGCTGGGGCTACTTGGGGCCAGGGATTATGCTCCTGGGGAGTGCCCCAGGGGCTCCCAAGAAAAGCCTGATCCCCCTCCCCAGCCACAGTGGCATAGGGGAAACTTGGTTAAGTGCAGGGCATGAATGGCTCTGACCCGGCTCTCCTTGGGGCTGTAGCAGGAGACTTCCTGTCTCCTACGGGGAGATAGGAAGTACCAAGCATGGACAGCTAGAGGCTACAGCAGCTCGAGCCTTAGCCCGGGCCACAGCCCGGGCCACGTGGATGGTGGCAGTGTGGACGGACGAACATCATGTGGTGGTTGTGCACGGTCCCCTCTTCCTCGCCAGCCCGAGGGACCCCATCTTTCCTCCCTGCGTTCCTTGGTGGCCTGTGTCAGAGACACCCTAACAAGGGGCCTGGCACCCACGGAATATGGTGCCTGCTTATGCCCCACTCCTTGGCCGGAAGCTGAACCACAGTCTGTGTTTGGAAGGAAGTTTGATTCTAATCTTGACAGTGCTGCACGGCCCACCATGAAATCTCTCTTCTCCCAGGCCTCACCCCAGAAACTGTGCCCCACATCATGAGATGCACAGGACCCACGGCAGAACCCATGTGAAATTTCTGCCTAGGAAGTCTGATCTCTGCGTGGAGACAATTGCTTTCTCCCTTAAAGCTGTCAGTGATCGTCACAGCCTGACTGTCTATGTCTGGCATGGAGTGCTCCCCAGCACCACCCATCTAGGGACGCTGCCACCAAGTGAGGGTAGATTCAGGAAAGATGCTTTGTGCTGCAACTGTGCATGACCTCTAAAACTACAATTGCCTAAAAATGAATGATAAAGATGGACTGCTGTGAAGATCAGTTGGTCCAGAAAAATACTTGGTCAATCCTGGTTTAATCATGAGAAAATAATCAGATGAAACACACACACACACACACACACACACACGACACAGAGCTCAAGAGTGCTAGATAATCAGAAGCCCCTGGACAAGGTAATCCCTGTGCCTGGGGTTCATACTGCCTTGTCTCAACAAGGGTGGGAGTCTCTTGCCCCCCAGATGTAGGGTTGAGGGTATCCCAGATCTCTCAGACTCCCAAGAGTCAAGTAGACTACAAGTTGATTGTTCCTGAGCTCCCTCCTGTTGCTGCCGTATTCGTCACCCAGCAGTAGCCCCTCCTACCAATTGGTCTGCCCCCAGCCTAGCAGCACCTCTGTGTTCTTGCCTGCTCCTGCGGCCACGCTGAGCTCCCTCCGAGGCTCCAGTGGTCTCCAGCACTCACCACCCCTCCCTCCGGGCTGGTGCTGGTGCTGGTGCTTACACGAGTTTCACATCACACGTCTTTCTGTGGTTTCTCCTTTTCACACCTGCACCTGCTTCGTGGAACAGGCGACCTCCCTTGCTGACACTTGCCTCTGGACCCTCTCCAAGGGCTCAGGGCCAGACCTAGGAAGGGGAATGCAGGTGCTGCTCAGCACATCCATCAGGACACGTGGGCAGAGCGAAGGGCGCTTTACTACGCAACTGCCGTAGCAGGAAAAAGAAACAAGCTGAGGCCAGGTTTCAGGCAGGAAGGAAATCTGCAGCTCAGAGAGAAATGAGCTTTTAAAGCCTATTTCCCGTGGAGGAAAACAGACTTGGATTCAAATATTTTGGACTCTCCCAAATGGTTTTTATTCTGGGGCATCAGCCTTTCCCTTTATGAACCATAGTGAAAAATCCTCTGAGCTGTGGGTTCCCCCAAATACCAATTTCTTCCTCTCTAGACCCCCCCCCCCGGCAGGCTGCACACCTATGCAAGCCTTCCCATGGGTGCCGCCTGGACCTCAATTCTCTGAGCTTAGATGCTCCCAGCCCAACCCAACAGCCCAGTCTCCACACTATCCCACTGGCACTGGGTTTGACAGACCTTGTGGCCTTTGCAGGAAAAGCTGGTGGCGCTGGGTTGGGGTCTCTACTCCTTCGGTCCCCTGCCTTCTCCGGGGGTACAACTAGATTCCAGAGAGGAACTGGTCCAGGGGCTCCTGCCTGGGGCTTGATTTACATTCTTTCCTCCTGAGTGGGGAGCCCCTTTGGGACCTGGGGTTTCCTACAGTTCTGGCAAGTGCAGGTTTGTCTTTCTGAGAGTCTGAAGGTGCTAAGGGACAGAGGCAGGAACATTCCCGGGGCACCCTCTTGTTGTAACAGTCTCCCTGCTGCCCTTGGGGGATATGGGGCTCTCCCCACAGGGGGTCTGAGGGCTCCTCAGAATGACCCAGGATCCCCACCTCCTGCCTCCCGATCTGCCAGCACAGCTTAGGGATCAGAGATGGCATGCTTACCTGAGACAAAGGAACAGAGAGGGAGAGATGAGAGAGACGGGGGAAGGAAGGAAGGAAAGGGGAGACGGAGAGAGAGACAGATGGGAAGAGATGAAATGGGGCAGGAGAGCAGGGAGACAGAATGGGCAACAGGTCTGGGAAGAATCTAACTGCCGGGGAGGCGTGGGGTGAGGGCAGCTGTGGTGGCAAAGGACAGCGTGGCATGGCGGTGGCATGTGGCCAGGAGCCAGATTACGCGAGATCAGACCCGTAGCTCCTCTGCGTGGCAGCTGCCCGGCCTTCAGCAGCCCACTTCACTCCCACTTACAGAGGAGGCATTTCCTCATCTTTACAAGGGGGATGTGGATAGTACTTAGTCAAGACTGCCCCGAGCAGAGCTTTAGATGAGTCATCACGTGGATGGTACCTGTCACAACGGCAGCCGGCTCACAGGGAACGCCGGAACGTGTAGCTGCTGCTGGAGCACGGACTTGACCCAGCCCCACTAGGTCTGCCGGTTCTGAGGCCCGGGGCCCTCCTGCAGGAGGCCTGGGCCCCTTACGGCAGCCTCTTGCCTTCCCTGCCACAGGCCGCTCCCTGGAAGGGGCACCGCACCCTGAGACTATGGGGGAAATCAGCCCGGCAGACCAACGGAGCAGGCTTTCCTAAATAAAAACACGCTCAGCCCTTTTCAGCTGCTCGGTAACTCGGTTAGGGAGGTGAGATGATTATCATCATCCCCATTTTACAGCTGAAGAAACTGAGGCTCCAAGTGTCATTCTAGTAAATAATAGAACTGGATCTGAACTGGGGCCTGGTCTGACTCCAGGTTGCAATTGGGGAATTCCTGTGTGAAACCGCCCCCCCCCCCCGCCATAGGAGTGGGCCTGGGAGTACACAGGTAGACGGTACCCATGACAAAGCCCCTAGACGCCCCACCTTGCCCGTTTCTCTCTACGACCCTTCCCCCAGCTGAGAAGGTGATCCTTGGGTAAGAGAGGGAGAGTAAGTGACTCGGGCACTTCTGTCCCTCACTGCACACCCTGCCTGAGCCTGCCGACGGGATGAGTGGTTCCAGGTGATGTCATCGGAGGTAGCGTGGGCCGGAGCAGTGATCCGACCCGGGGAAGCTCGGCCAGTCCCTGGGCAGGCCCCAGTGCGTCACTATCAGTCCGTCGGGAAGCCAGCCTGCTGCGTGGCCGCCGTGGTAGTGGGTGCTCAGGAATGGAAATCCTGGTGGGCGAGGCAGGCAGGGTCCTTCCCTGTGTGGGCTTTACAGTTAATGGGGGAGACCAACGACAAACAAAGAAATAGATCGATAACAAGCTCAAGATAGTGCGGAGAGCCTGGAAAGAGACCTGCTTTAGATAGAATGGGAAAGAATGATCTTTTCTTCCTCACCTTTAGAGACCATCTTCTCTAATGGGCTCACTTTGGGGAAATTGAGGCCCAGACAGGAAGTGATGGACAGGGGCACACTGAGGCCAGCCTGGGTTGGGAGCTTGACTTCTGGCCCTCAGCCTGGTCCCCAGCTGTGTCTCCTGCATCCTGAGACCTTCATTCCCCACGGGTCCCACTTGGGCACACAGTTCCTAGAGGAAAGCAGTGCTGCTCAGCCCTGACGTCTGCTCAGTGCCTCTCTCCCTTTGTTTTCCAGGTTAACAAGAAATATGATTCCTGAAGGTACCAAGACATTGGGCTTGGGTTCTTGGCTGCCATCGCCAGTCTCCCTGCCCCATGATGCCACTAACTTGGGATATGTTGGCTGGGCCCATGGTTTCTGGGGATCCCAGCCTAATTATTCTGAACTCTTGGAGTTACTGCCCTCCATAGAGCAGGCACCAAGAAAGCAGTTTCTCTGCAGACTCCACATGACCAGTTTTCCAGGGAAAAAGAGGATTTGCTGTAAAAGCAGGAATTGGCAATGCCCAGAGGGCCAGGGCACAATGGGGTTGGCATGACCGGTCCTCCTTTCCCCTTCCTCCAGACTCACTGCCTTCAGCCTGCTGACCTGTTCTGAGGGGAGAGGTATTCCAGGCTTGGGCTCAGCCTCAGGCCTGCTACTGGGCCTCCCTGCTTCCAGGGATCCTGAGGGAAGCCAAGGCAAGTGGGTTGCTCATGGCCGTGCATCCCAGGGCTGAGGTGTGGGGGCCCCTGTCTGCTGCCAACAACACATACCATGCATGAGGTGCCCCCTGGAGGAAGGGTTGTTTCGTTTGGCTCCTCTGATGCTTCCCGACTTTACCCTGGGCTCTCATGCAGGGCTGTGGATTTCCAGAACATGGCTGACAGTAGAGCCCCTTGCTTCTAGGCTGGGGACCCCAGACCATCATCCACTCCTAGCCTCTCACAGTGAAGGAGGGAAGGCACTTTGCACAAGGTAGGGTTGGGTGGGCACTGGTTCCATGGGACTCAGGAGACCCTGGACCCCTTCTCCAAGTTCCCACGGGCTGGCTTCCCCTTAGCCTGGGGCCCAGCTGGCCCAGGCCTGTCCTTTACCCCTCTTCTGCACCTGCCTACTTATTTCGGGCCTATTTGGAAGCTAATCCCTGCATTCATTAAGTGACCCCTCCACCTGTTCCTCTGCTTTCATTAGAGACAAGAGAGCTAATTACCAGCCCCTCTGAGGCCCCACCACAGGCCATTTTAGAGCTGACACAGCTCTTTAAATGATTTAAAAATCCTATTTCCCTGCAATGAAATGGGCTACCCCTCCTTCCCTATTAAAACTAATTACTATGCACTTCCCATCTGAAGAGGGACTCTGCTCCTTGTCCTCCCCAGACAGCAGCTCCTCACAGAAGTCTTTCCAGGTTGCTGGGAAGGGAGGAGGTAGAAGCATCTGAGGCTCTTCTCCCTCCAGCCAGACGTCCCAGTGAGTTCAGGACGGCTGAGCCTGATGGAGACTGGGCAGGACAGGCTCAGGCTGGAGAGTTGGGTGGAGAGACGGTGTTAAGGAGTTGGGAGAAAAACCAGCCCTGAATAGTGGCCACCAGCCCCTCTGGGGCTTCAGTGCTGGAAGAGTTCCCTGCCCAAATCTAAGATTTGATCATGTCCTGTGGGAGGGGGAACCAAGTGAGGGCCACAGAGCTCTCTGGAGCTCTCTGTGGTCCTGGAGTTTTTGAGCCTCAGCCCTTGGGCTCATGATCGCATGCACAAAGTGAAAGGGGTGGTGGAAAGCACCTCCAAGTATTATGATGTGGGCTACGAGGAGCTCACCATCTCCAAAAGCAGCTCAATTTTATAAAGGGAGGCCCCTGCTCAGGCCCCTCTGACTCCAAGAAATGATGCCAACAGTGACCTTCGTTGTGACCCTTGTCTTTCCCTCTGTCCCGTCTGGGCCCTGCAAGGTGGAAAAACCAAACTTAAAAAAAAAAAAAAAGACTACAAGGGGGTTGTCTTAATTTCAGCATCTATGTAAGCTTGTTTCATTTCAAGGATATAATTTTATTTTGCAATTTAGCCATTATATTTATTTTAAATCACATAGGGGGATGCCCTAACATTTTTTTTAACTTAGGACCTCTAACTTGAGCTCCAGACTTCATCTGGCTTTGTTCA